TTCATAACCGATAGGTGACTCAGTACTAGCTAAATATGATACGAAACAATTCTGTGTAACTGAATCATTCATTAAATGATACGAAATGAGTAAACATTTAATTTTAAAAGATAGTTATGTACATAAAAAGCTGACTTTTGACTTACTTTCATCACTGATAGGTGACTCAGGGGTAGCTAAACATTATGAGAAGTAATTCTATATAACTGTACAGTTCATTGAATCATATAAAATAAGTTTATTGTATTGGTGGGAAATCAATCAATTTACAATGAATAAAACTGATATATAAATACACTAAGATACATGTATTATTTGATTATCACTAGTCATTCCAAGATAAAGTCTAAATAACTGTTAAAGAACCTTATTTTTAAGTCTTCACTTAGTATATGAATTTCAAAAATATATTAGGAAATAAGAACAAAGATTGGTACACCAATCTTCGTCATTGATCTCTTTAAGATAATAAAGGAAACTATGTATGTGAATATTTTTTATAAGAAAATACGTTGTTTATTACATTGGCTACTCAATAAAATTCAACTAAAATTATTCTTGTATTTGATTGTATCGTTACATCCTAATTTCAGGTTACCTTCCAAATAGTAACTCTACTTAGAAGTATATATATATATATATATTTTTTCGAAACATTTAACAATAATCGAATTCATATATTACAGTCCATATTGTTACTAAAATTATTATTATTATTATTATTATTATTACTAATGACTTTATTCAATATTATATTTTTGGTACAATATAGAATTTTCAGTTCAAAGTATTTCAACAAGTTTCCTTTTCTTATTTCTTGATCAATCCTGACAATAAATATTGAGTGATCACTAATTAGAAGTTAACAGTTCAATCAATCGACATTTAAATAATGTACATTCTTTTTGATGCATATTCCCAGCAACCATAATATCTCTGATTGAACATTTTGTAACTTGTAAAACGAAAAGTTGTACACTTTTCAGAAATGCAACTGAATAGATTATGTAATTAATAGCCATAATGATGTATTAAAACAAAAAATTAGATAACTTGTTGAAATATCTGGATGGTAGGGAAAGATAGCTCAAATGTTCAAGCAGGCCGCCATAGTGTCAAGTTCTAATAATGTGATATTAACAGACAAATGTTAAGTTTTCAATATTTATTATCAATATATATTATAACTTACCAGAATAAATCTGTGAGCAATAAAATAATACTACTACTATAACGTAAACTTTCATGTTGTAAGTAATGATAAGTAATAATGTTTTTTCTACTCTCTTTATATAGTATCTGTTTGGTATAATTAAATTTCAAAAGCTTCTGAAGAACAGTTCATATTTTCACATCAAGTGGTTACATCAAATTTTACATTTACAATTACAAATGAAAAAGTTTCGTACATATTGTTTTACAATTCTATTACTTATTCGTCATTACAAAAACAAACTTGCTCTCTCTCTCTCTAAATTCTCATCGTAAATAATGTGTTACCTTAAAACGTTTTCTTTTTCAGGATATATTTCTATAAGTGTTTCTATCAATACATATATGTATAATGAGAAAATCTCTAAAGCTGTACATAAACTATTCATCAGGACAGTGTAGATTACAAAAAAAATACACAAGCATGTAGATATTCTCACCTTGAAAAAGAATATTATCTTGAAAATTTTCAAATTAATTTATTTAAATGGAGTTCTGTAAACTAAAATTATAATCTTTATTATTTACAGAAGATTGGATAATCATGTTTGTGTTATGGTGGTCTTAGAAATCCAGTTCTTATTGAACCTGAACTCCAAAACAAGTGAGTTTAAAATTTTGTTCAGTTGTTCTCTAAAATTCTCGAATAATAACTGAAAAACTATAGATAACAATACACAATGACAAACCTTTCTTCCCTTTTGTCTAGCAAAGCATTCGTAAATGTAAGAAACATGTAGATTTACTTCCATATTTATTTCTAAGCGATTTCAGTGTAAGCTCATTCATATTTAGACCTATAATCGCACGCTACTCAATCGATAGGATTCCATGTCTACTAAAGGAGTAGACAAACACGACATTCATCACTTTTCAGTCAATAATCCGTTGTGTATATCTCAGTCCTTCCACGGTGTGGGCAGCCGGTAAGTGACATCAGCCCTCATACACGTAACAGCACATGAGACCAAGTTGATCACGGTCAAATTCTCTACAACTAACCCTCCTCCCGTTCCTTTATCACCTCACACCTCTTGTGCAAATGATTCGAGTACATCGAACATCATTCCTGGTCTCTTGAAACCACTCTCTAAACTACATGTAGGAGCCTTTAACGTTCGAACACAATGCCAAATAGGAAAACAGGCTTCTTATATAGGACTTTGAAATCTCGCGCCATCAATGTGTGCTGCGTCTCCGAAACGCGCACACTGGATTCGAGTAACGTTATTCATTTGACCTCAGCATGTTAAAGTAACGAACCAACTCGATTTACACTTCATGTATCTGGAACCCCTAATGCTGCTTCCTGTGGCCTCGTTGGTGTAGGTATAGCACTGACTCCTATGGCAGAACTAGCTCTCTTAGACTGGATCCCAGTAGACAGTCGTTTGTGCGCTGTCCGACCAAATGGCATAATAAAGACTCGGAAAGAAAAACAGTTAGGCAGCCATATAAGCGATGCCCACTCCGAGGCAGCGTGGAATGACATCCAAAAAACTGTGGAAACAGCAATTATATCCGCTAGTACGATAAAACACAAGATTAGGGAGAAACACTGGATCTCAGCAGAGTCTACCGCACTGATAGATGCTCGAAAATCCACTCCATATGGCTCCAAACATAACGAAAAGCGGAGTAAGTTTAAGCGCAAGCTGACTAGAAGCCTACGCAATGATCGTGAACAGTGGTGGGTAGCGAAAGCAAGAGAGATGGAAAAGGCAGCGCAATAGGTAACAGCAGGCAACTGTTCAGACTTGTTAAAGATACCGGTATTAGGAACCCAACTGTTAGCGAAACAATCTTAGAGAAAGATGGACATATTATTCATTCTCAATCCAGGAGATTGGATCGATGGATAGAACACTTTAGGGATCAGTTCAATTGGCCTTCAGCCACACTTCAGTTTACCGCGATCTCCAATCTACCTGAATGGCAAGTTAATGTAAGTCCTCCGACTGTTTACAAAGTTGGAAAAGCTATAGGAAATCTGAAGCGTGGGAGAGCAGCAGGCCCTGACAGGTTTACCCCTGAGATTTTTAAGGATGGCGGTCCAGTATTAGCAGCGAGATTGACTGAGGTCTTAGGTAGAATCTGGGAACTGGACGTAATCCCATCTGACTGGTCTCAATCACTGATTGAGCCAGTCTATAAGAAAGGACAAAAGTCCTCCTGTGACAATCACAGAGGAATTAGTTTGACTAATGTAGTGTCTAAAATATTAGCTTCAATAATACTTCGACGTCTAAACAAAGCTCGTGAAGAGCAGACTAGAGAAAACCAGGCTGGTTTTCGACCTGGACGTGGTTGTATAGTCCAGATATTCACACTACGTCAGGTCCTAGAACATAGACACACATTCAGACGCCCCAAAATCGTCGTATTTCTCGACCTTAAGGCGGCATTTGACTCGGTTAACCGTGAAGTTCTGTGGCAGTGTTTGTCAATGAAAGGAGTACCGAAGAAGTACATTAAATTTATACAGGCTCTCTACTCGAACACAACTGGTCGAGTGAGAGCTTACGGCGTAGTGTCATCAGAATCGATTACGTCAAGTGGTGTTCGTCAGGACTGTCCACTCTCTCCATTCTTGTTTAACTTTGTCGTTGACATGCTTCTAGAGATAACATTTTCCACATCTGACTTTCCAGGGGTTAAACTTCTACCGGGTAATTCACATTTTGACTTAGAATATGCCGATGACATAGTTCTATTTGATGAAGACGCTGACAAAATGCAGAGTCTGCTGACCACTCTAAGCAACAATGTAGGTATGTTCGGCATGCGATTTTCTCCCTCGAAATGCAAAATGTTGCTTCAGGATTGGGTTGCATCGACACCGGAACTAATGATAGGGAGGGAAGTAGTTGAGCGTGCCGACTGCTTCACTTATCTTAGAAGTCTCATCAGCCATTGTGGTCTGGTATGTGACGAAATCTCAGCACGGATACAGAGGGCTCGACTAGCTTTTGCCAACTTGCGTCATTTATGGCGTAGGCGAGATATCCGTCTATCAACCAAAGGACGTGTTTACTGCGCAGCAGTTCGTTCCGTCCTACTTTATGGCAGTGAAACATGGCCGGTAAGAGTAGGGGATATTCGTAGGTTACTAGTATTCGATCATAGGTGTCTTCTAAGCATTGCTCATATATCCTGGGACAACCGAGTAAGTAATGCAGTTGTTAGGAAATGGGTAGTAGGTAAGGTTGGCAAACCAATTGATGAAGTAGTGAGACTTCATCAGTTAAGATGGTTGGGATACGTGTCACGTATGCCCAACCACAAACTACCCTGTCGTGCGATGTTTTTGGGTGTAGGAGTAGGTTGGAAGAAAGCTAGGGGGGGCCAGAGTAAAACATGGCACAAATCCATGAAGTCACTGACAAGTGGACTGAGTCATGTTGGTAGGTGTAGACTGCCAGGTTGGGATCCCCGATATGATAGAAACCGATGGTTAGAGACTTGGAATGACGTGGTTCGAAATCGTTTGCAGTGGCGCAGGTGCATCTAATCTTTGTTCGCATTCCAAATTTATTTCACTAGATTATACTCCTTGAATAACAGTTTCAAACCCTAATCTTTCCGATTACTGCTGATACTTTTACTACCTCTACCGTTATTGGATTTGAATCGACAATTGTATCTCTGTGCTAATGTGGTATGGTAACTCGAAGTGATTTACGTACGTACGAAGTTCTACGTTGTTACTGACAAACTGAATTACTACACAACTCATTGTTGTGTATTCGTACGTATGTAAGTGGGTAAATGGAAATAATTTCAAAGAATAGAAAACCACAATACAATTTTCTTTTTAATAAGCATAAATATTCAGACTGAAATCATAATAAATAATCAAAGATTAATCAACCAAAAAGGAAGGCACAAAGGTAAAAAGAAATGCAAAAATCCAATTACAATTTAACTGACAAATTGATTCAATAATATTTAGTGATAACATTAAATTTTCGTTATATATTTAGGATAAATTAAAAAATCATCCCATTCATGCAAATATCATTCTATTTGTGTCTATGTTAAAAAATTCAAAGATGGTTTATGAAAGACTAAGGATAAGCAAAACACAAAGTACAAGTAAAGGGATGAAAAAAAATTAGAGAAATTAAAATTATCCAAAAATGGTGAGTAGGATAAGGGAAAACATTGTTTAACAAAAGGAAAAACAACTCATTAATAGATAATAAGTAAATAAATAACTTATAACAAATAATTACTAAGTTGATTATGAAATTCTGAATTTGTTAAAAAATGCCATCGACGTTGACCTAATGCAGTACAAATGCAACACTCTGCTATTCTTAATCTAGACGATATCGATTCAGTCATCATTGCATTATACCATGTAGATATTGTAGCTGGAACAGTTAATGGACAAACACCATCTAACTGACAACATTCTTTTTGGATAACTAATTGTAATGGACTGTATTTACATTCACTCATAGAATTACAACATTGATTTCTTTGACGACATATTACCAATAAGGTTAAAATATGCACATAAGCACTTGAACCACCAAGAGCTAGTAGATTAAGATGTGGACAGGCTTTAATCAAATCTTGTAGAACATGATCTAATCCATATGAATGATTATCTTTACATGATTCATCAAATCGTTTAATTGATCCAGATATATTCAATTCAGAAGGTATATTCTGAACAATGAAAAAAAAACAGGCAGAATTATCAAACAAATTATTTGTGATAAGTATCAATAAAATTCTGTAGTTTTACAATTAATTCCTATAAATAATACCACAATACGTTACTATACTACTATCTATTTTCATAGGACATAACTATAGACTGATTAATTTAATGAGTATACTTATCTTAACGCATACGGTTTTTAGCTAAACTAAAACTGTTACCATTTTTTAAAAAAAAATTTGATCAACATTAAATATATGAACAGATCTATGAAGAAAAATTTATACAATAAAATGTGAAATAGCTATCTTAGAAGCATGAAAATAAAATCAATGTAAACAATTCGAAGTAAACCAGTAGTTATAAGCAGAATTTTAAAAGTTCATAAAGAGTTCATTCAAGTTCACATAAACCAAGAACAACGATTGTAGTAAAATAATATGAATTTATTTACTTCATCGATTCAATTTGACTATTTTATATCTCCATTCAGAGGTATAGAAGCGGCCTGATTGACTATCTGAACAATCTATTCCTGTAATTTAAATATTTCAACAAGTTGTCTATTTTCATTTGTTTTAACAAATCACTATATCTATTAATCGCATAACCTATTCAGGCACGTTTATGAGAAGTTTACGACCTTTTGCTGTACAAGTTACAAAAAAGTATAATCGGAGACAATGTCGTGGCTAACAATATGCATTGAAAAGAATGAACATTATTCAGATGTCCATTCCTAAACTGATAACATCGAACTGGTGACTACTCAATATTTAACATCAGAATCGATCAAGAAGTAAGAAAAGGACAATTATTGCATAAATTTTCGAGTACATTATACAAAAACTGACACTATATTCGGTGCTAAAAACAATCAATAAGCAAATGACTTCAAAACGTGTTGTTATATACTAAAATCATAGCTATTAAAAAACTCAAACTGAACTTATGAATTAAAAAAGGATAATGTTATTATTGTATTTAATATCTAGTATCCTCAATTTCTAACACTTATTTGAGTAATATCTTGTTTTGCATTTGCAACTAGAAATTCCTTTTGTACATTCTTTTTATTGTATATTCATCTTAATCGATTTTTTGTTATTGTGTAACTTCTAAAATAATAGCATTGTTTGACAATTATATGAGCATCTCATATAATTCATTTATTTCTTAATAAATTTCATTGATTATAGCAAATATAGTATGTAAATTATGCTGTTTGTCAATGCCCTGGTACGGCCGAAAGTGGGGACAGCCAGCTCTCCCTCTCGAAATGCTCTCATATGGCCACGCGTATATAGCCTCTGTCAGGGAAGTCCTACTCACCATTGGTTTAAGATCCGGATATTCGCTTTTCGTCCTCTCATTTTCGTAAACAACACCACCGCCACGTTGAAGGCAGTGAGTAGGACTTTCCTGGCAGAGGCTATATACGCATGGCCATGTGAGAGCATTTTAAGAGGGAGAGCGGACTCTCCCCACTCTCGGCCGTACCAGGGCATTCGGGTGCCTCCTTGTACCAATGTTTATGTGCTTAAATAAATTGTTTTTTAATTATTCATACTACTATTTCTAAGTTGTCAACAGTTGAATAGAATTTATGAAATAAATAAATTCATATTAGTAAATTGAAAATTCCCATTGTGAAAATTAGAACAACACATATATGCGAACAATTGTTTTCAATTAGATCATCATCAGGCTTTACTCTAATATACAGTAATATTTATACGAAAATGTTAAACCAATCAAGGCAATTTTGGATCAGTAATTACAATGAAATAGGATAAGTCATCACACATAATAGATAAAAGTACAAGTTGATAGTAGGAAGACAGGTGTACTGATAGTAGGTAGGAATAATAAAATACGATAACAAAAGTCTTATCAATAGTTAAACATTGGAAATAGTAGGTCAAACATGGGTAAATGGAGTAGTTATCACAAAACATTAAAATCATTACGTAATAAGAAGTGTGTAAATAATTAGATAGTGAAGAATGCAAATGTAAAGAGGCGAATAATTCCAAACAAATAATAGATAAGTAAATAAGGTTAATGATAGAATATTAATAATAATAGTAATAATAAAGAAATAAAAAAAAAGAAATAAAAATTAATCGTTAGTTAAGTTATCACTGGCCATGGAAGGGATGTGATGGCACATTAAGTAGAAGCGTGTATAGAAAAAGCCCCTCTACCTGCCAATATACCCACTTCTGCAGTTTCACACCTATCCGCTACAAGAGAAATTTGGTTAGATGTCTCACAAGCAGAGCAAAAAAGATTTGTACAGGTGATACTTTAAGTCAGGAGCTTGAATTTATTAACAACTCACTGACCGAGATCGGCTACCCCGGTGCTTTCATTAAGAAGTACATGTATGATATAATAAAGAAGTCGGAGATTTCGACTGTTCGTAAGAAACCTTTATACATGAAACTACAATTCAACGGGGATGTGGCTAGTGATACTCTGAAATATAGGTTAACGAAAGTAATCAACAGAACATTTTACGCAGCCAATCTTGCGTTGACTTTCTCTTGTCGACCAGCGATGTCTACTCAAACGAAGGATAAGTTACCTGAGTTGGCCTCCTCAATGTGCATTTACAAATTCAGCTGCTCCTGTGGAGATAGCTATATCGGGCGTACTACCAGGCAACTTAACCAACGAATGAGTGAACATCTACCAACTTGGTTCATAAACGGCCAGATAAAAACAGTACGCAGTTCAATCCTGGCGCATCTTATTGATAGTGGTCATGCCGTAGATAAATCGAAATCATTTCGAGTGATCTATCGTATACCCCCATCATTTCCCAATGGAGTTCGTTCCCGTCTCCTACATATAGCTGAAGCCATAGGAATCCGTACATATAACCCCAATCTATGTGTACAGAAGAAATTTGTAACCCCCCTATCCCTTCCATGGCCAGTGATAACTTAACTAACGATTAATTTTTATTTCTTTTTTTTTATTTCTTTATTATTACTATTATTATTAATATTCTATCATTAACCTTATTTACTTATCTATTATTTGTTTGGAATTATTCGCCTCTTTACATTTGCATTCTTCACTATCTAATTATTTACACACTTCTTATTACGTAATGATTTTAATGTTTTGTGATAACTACTCCATTTACCCATGTTTGACCTACTATTTCCAATGTTTAACTATTGATAAGACTTTTGTTATCGTATTTTATTATTCCTACCTACTATCAGTACACCTGTCTTCCTACTATCAACTTGTACTTTTATCTATTATGTGTGATGACTTATCCTATTTCATTGTAATTACTGATCCAAAATTGCCTTGATTGGTTTAACATTTTCGTATAAATATTACTGTATATTAGAGTAAAGCCTGATGATGATCTAATTGAAAACAATTGTTCGCTTATATGTGTTGTTCTAAAATTCATATTACTCTCACTAAAAATGTTTGCAGTAAAAGCAGACCGGCTGCCTGCTTGAATATCTGGGCTACCTGTTTCTCCTATCTAGATATTTCGTCAAGTTATCTGTTTTCTTGTTTGTTTTAACACACTATTATGTCTATTGAGCTCACAACCTATTTAGGCGCGTTTATGAAAAGTTTACAACCTTTCGCTGTACGGATTAAAAAAAAGGTACAACCAGCGACATCATGGTGTCTTGCAATATGCATTGAAACGAATGAACATTATTCAGATTTCGATTATCGAACTCCTAACATCTAACTGGCCATCACTCAATATCTATCGTCAGGATTGATCAAGATATAAGAAAAGGAAACTTGTTGAAATACTTTATGCTGAGAATTCTATATTGTACCAGAAATATAATATTGAATAAAGCTTATAATAATAATAATGGTATAAGGATGAGCTTAAGACAGTTGTGACGAATTTCCAGATTGTTTCTAGACAATTAGAAGAAGGACTTTTATAAATGGATAGTTTATGGAAAAGAAAACAGTACTATTCCGAATGTAGACAAACTTTATATAGTAAATTTATTGATTTCTTCCGCAAGCAACTACTCTGACTGTAGACTGAGATAGAAACTCGTCATAATGGATATAAATTATACATATTCTCGAACCCTTACAAGGGTTCAAACAAAGTTTTGAGTTGTAATATTGTTCATAGTTAGGGTTAGAAGTAGGGATTTATGATTACAGTTTTCATTCCGGACGGACATCAGCTATGATGTAAAAATACTCTGAATCCATGTAGATGGATAAATTTCACTCAAAAACATAATATACTCTATCTGATTGATTATTTTACCCATAAAGTGCAGTACCACTAAGTTAAGGTTCGTTTCAGGCTTAAAGGTCGAAGATACAGGGATATTTTCGATTTCCCTGCTATATATAATCTAAAGAATTAAGCATTTAATAAATTTGACATTATCATTTTTATTTCATGGTTCCAAAAATTAATTTTTCACTATCACTTTAAGCGTTGTGAGTAGTATACAGGAGTGTGTCTACTGCTCGCTATACATAATATTTGAATTTCACTTAAATCCCTAAAAGTCGTGTTTTTTTATTCTGAGGATAATATGGCACAAAAGCTTTCAGGAACATTATTGTGTGAATTTGAATCGTTAGTGTAATATTTACCAGAAAGTTGATCATCAAATACCTCTTAATCTTTACTACATTTCACGAAATGGAATACAATAGGTTGGAAACACCTTTGCTATTAGAATCTTACTATGATTTATTCATAGAAGTATATCTAGTTTACTATGAACATGATCTAAATTAATTTTCTTGATAAAGTTGATCTGATTTGTCCTGAACTTGACAACTTACTTTGGACTTCTTATCAACACCATTTCATTTGACGTAAATTACTCTCACCAAATAAAATTCAACATTATTAATAGTACTGACTCACATTGTTTACTTGACTTCAAGTGACACTATCGATCTATTCAAACAGACGTAGATGTTGTGGGGTAATGAAATATAATTAAGTGATCAAAAGCCATATTTTAACTAACAAGCCTTTACTTCACTCATACTATTATTTAGTCAAAACATAAAAACACGAATAATAAGTGTTCGGATAAATCATTAAAGAAGAAAAATTTCATACTTCCAATAATATTATCAATGATGTAAGTGATTGTGAATAAGATATAGGATTGATTGTATTTTGTGGACTTAATAAACCAGCCATAAATGCAGGTTCTCCAGTTAGAATCAATGTGATTGAAGTGACCGGTGCAGGAGGAACGGGCCAATAAGACAGTAAATTATGAATTGAATTGAATTTATCAGATGATGAAGAACTTTTCCACCGTAAACAAGTTAAATCTTCAACTAATTCCAGCTTCAAATGAATGGTAAGATGTGGACATAGGATAAGAGCAGCACGCCACACGTTTGAAGGTATTGGTTTCCAACCTGATGTTGTATCTTGATTAGTTCCATATCTTCGAATACGTGGAATATCTTCAGTCCAATCAATCAAATCCAGCATGCTTGAATCACTAGGATCAAAACTTTGATCTTCATTAAATCCCATACTTAAATCATCAGAATCATATGAAATAGTTCGTTGAACAGCAGAATTTTCAGAATGAGGTATGGTAAATACAGTCAAATCAGTCTTTAAAAAATGAAATAAAATGAAAAGCTGCTGTTAACCACCCAATAGGCAACACCCCATAAGTTGGAATTAAAAATGAGTCTAAAATAATGGTTAATGAAGTCATTAAAAAAACTCATTCCAAACATTAATTTTACTAACAGATAGAAGGCTTACAAGAAATTGAAAGTAATAACACAAGAAACGAATTACAGTTATCATGGAATCCTATAAACGTTTACGTCAAGATCAAATTATAAAACAATTTTTATTCATTACAAACTTTCAAAAGCTAAATATTAGCATTAATATATGTTGATTTATTTGACTGTACGTCACAATGATAAGTAGATCTTCGTAGAAATACTGACTGTATTTGGATATTTTTTAAAGGTAAAAACAACATTAGCTTAGTTAATAACACTGAAAATAAAAATGGCCGATTTGAATCAGCGAATGAGTTGAGCGACTGTACCACCATTGATTACAATGCCATTACGAAAAAAATTTTAGATTATAGTACTATCTTTTTTCCCTTACCGTGAAATATTCGATTTAGTCATCACTGATTTACACGAATACGTGAGAAATCCAGTAAGGGAAAAGGACATTTGATATGAATTTAACGATATCCATTCTTAACTATAATCCCCCTGACTGATACTTCAATTTGATACCTTCAAATATATTGAAAGTCATAGGGATTCGTGTCTAAAAACCTAGTCCTTGTATTCAGCAAACATTTCAGTCCTATCCTTCGCCAGAAAACATTCAACGGACGATATTCCTAATTTTTCATTTGACTTTATTAGGTGCATTATTAAACTGACTATTCACATATTTAAATAAAATGTGAATGACAATATTTACAAAATAAAATGAAGTCATTATATTTCGAGTCTCAACATTAGTTGACTAAATGGGTTAAACTTATAATTAACAATATTATTATAAATCAAGTATAGTCAATGAAGTCAACTTAGAAATAACACAGAGAAACATTAGAAACAAGAATAACAAAACATTTAACATAGTTGTTACAACTAATTAGTACTTATATGTTAAAAACGAAGTCATATAAATCAGTATGTGATGTCATAAATAATAATTAATAGACAAATTAAGTTTTTTGGCAAATAAGTAACTATATAATCAACCCACCTAAATTGTGTAAAATTAAAATTAACGATGTGTGTCAGTGAAATATACAGTTAAGGGATTACGTAACAGATAGTTTATGGCAGTGAAACATGGCCGGTAAGACTAGAGGATATTCGTAGGTTACTAGTATTCGATCATAGGTGTCTTCTAAGCACTGCTCATATATCCTGGGACCACTGAGTAAGTAATGCAGTTGTTAGTAAACCGGTACTAGGTAAGGATGGCAAATCAATTGATGAAGTAGTGAAACTTAATCAGTTGAGATGGTTGGGATACATGTTACGTATGCCCAACCACCGACTGCACCGATGTGTGGTGTTTCCTGGTGTAGGAGTAGGTTGGAAGAAAGCTAGGGGCGGTCAGAACAAAACATGGCACAAATCCAAGAAGTCACTGACAAGTGGACTGAATCATGTTGGTAGATGTAGACTACCTGGTTGGGGTTCGCGAGACGATAGCAACTAATGGTTAGAGACCTTGAATGACATGGCTCAAAATGGTTTGCAATGGCGCAGGTCAGTCAGTCAGTCAGTTGCAACGTAGGACCAGGCACGTATATGCATCGGTCCAAGTTGCCATACAGCATTAGCACAACAAGATGAACACCCGATTCATAGAAGTAGTTAATTCAGTGGTGGTAATATATAGAAGAAAGAGTGTGTATAAGGAGATAGTACAGGAAGATAGAATTAGTTCGTAGAAAGAAAGATTTGAAGTGATTTTAATCTCTTAGTTTAAAGGAAAACAGAGAGTGTATACACCGACGCCATTGTGATCGATTCTGAGCCATGTCACCAAGAGTTTCCAACCATTGGTTACGATAGTCACGCGGACCCCAACCAGGCAGTCTGAATCTACCAACATGGCTAACACCAGAAGTTAGTGACTTCAAGCATTGATGCCACGTTTTGGCTTGGCCGCCCCTAACTTTCCTCCAATTATCCCTAACACCAGTGAGCATTGCGCATCGTGGTAATCGGTGTTCAGGCATACGCATCATGTGGCCCAACAATCTCAGTCGATGAAGATTCATAACTTCATCAACTGATTTACCATCATTCCCTAATACCCTGCGTCTAACCTCACTATTACTTACCTGGTGATCCCAGCAGATACCCGCAATATTTCTAAGGCACCTGTGGTCAAATACTAGTAACTTACGAATATCTTCTACTCTTAAAGGCCATGTTTCGCAGCCGTAGAGTAGAACGGAACGAACCGCCGCGCAGTATACTCGCCCCTTAATTGATAGACGAATATCTCGCCTTCGCCATAGACGACGTAAGTTGGCAAAGGCCAAGCGAGCTTTTCGAATCCGTGCTGAGATTTCGTCACACACCAACCCATTAGGGCTGATCAGACTTCCAAGATAAGTGAAGTTGTCAACGCGTTCGACTACTTCACCTCCTATCCTTAGTTCAGGTGTTGACGCAGACCAGTCCTGAAGCAACAACTTGCATTTAGAGGGAGAGAAGCGCATCCCAAACATTCTGGCATTGTTGCTTAGTGCTACCAAAAGACTGCATTTTATCAGAGTCTTCACCAAACAGGACTATGTCATCTGCGTATTCTAAGTCAATAAGTGGACCTCCTGGTAGGAGATCAATACCTGAGAATTCAGTCGATGATAGCGTTATTTCCATCAGTAGATCTATGATGAAGTTATACAAAAATGGAGAAGGTGGACAGACTTGATGGACACCACTTGAGGTTGCGAAAGCAGATGACAGTTCGCCATAAGCTCTGACTCGACTAGTAGTGTTCGAGTAAAGAGCCTTCACAAGGTTTATGTACTTCTGAGGTACGCCTTTCAATGACAGACACTGCCACAGAACCTCTCGGTCAACAGAGTCAAACGCTGCTTTTAAATCAAGGAGGACCACTATTGTCGGACGCCGATAAGTATGCCTGTGTTCTAGAACCTTCCTCGTTTCAGATTAGCTATAGCCTTTTGAACTTCAGCTAGAGTTGGAGGACCTACTTCAATGTTCCATTCATACTGTCTGAGAATAGAGGGTAGTTGTAGAGTAGCTGAAGGCCAGCTAAACTGCTCCTTAAAATGTTCCGCCCATCGTTCTAAACGTCTGGACTGGGAGCAAATGAAAGTGTCGTCTTTTTCCGAAATAGTCCGACCTACACTTGATTTATTAATTCCAGTTTCTTTTATTGGTCTGTAGAGTTGTCTTGTGTTCCCTATAGCCGCCGCCTTTTCCATCTCTTTTGCTTTCGTTGCCCACCACTGCTCACGATCATTCCTTAGACTTTTGCTTAACCTAGATCCGATTTGTTTACGCTCTTCATCGTGTTCAGAACCTGATGGGATGAGTTTACGAGAATTTATCAGTGCAATAGACCTTGAAGAAATCCATTGGTTCTTTGTAACCCTTTGGTTTAAACCGCTAGTAGATGTCACTGCTTTTTCCACAGCTGCTTGTATGTCTTTCCAATCAACATCGGGGTCAGCCTCGTTTTCAGAACTACCTAAGTGTGACCTCAGTTGTTCCTGGAACCTACTTTTGGTATTCTCGTTACTCAGTTCAGTTCTAGTGGGTCTTTTTAATGTGGCTTCTTTGCGTCCAGTGAGGCGCAAGCAGATGCGTGCTCGTATTAGGGCATGGTCGGAATCCAAGCAGGTACTCCAGAATGAGCAACAATCTTCTATTGACCCTCTCCAACGATGACTGATGGCAATATGGTCTATTTGAGTCCATCGTTGGTTTGGTGCAGGGGGTCGCCATGTTAGACGATGTCTCTCCTTATGCTTAAAATTTGTGTTTGCTAAAAATAAACGATTGTCTGAGCACAGTTGCAGCAGACGATCACCATTATCTGTTCGCTGTGCCGGAATACTAAAATACCCACCTAAATGTCTTTCTGTTTCGTTTAAGCTACCTACCTGGGCATTAAAGTCGCCTGCTACGAGTACTATGTCTGAACGTTTAGCTTTCTGAAGAAGTTCAGACAGCTTTCTGTAAAATTCATCTTTCACTTCATCCGAACTGCAGTCAGTGGGAGCGTAGGCAGAAACGACGAAAAGGCAACGACGTGTGTCCCTATCCTTTCGAGTTCTTACGGAGCCGTTTAGCCGAACAGCGCATAGACGACTGTTAACAGGGATCCACTCTAATAGCATTTGTTCCGCCCTCATGCTTAGTGCTATGCCTACATCTGCAAGTCCACGGGAAATAGCCATCGGGTCGCCAGATACACGGAGGGTGTATCTCGTCGGCTCTCCGTTTTGCCGAGGTGAGGTCAAGTGAATGACCACACTAGGATCCTGTATGCGTGTTTCGGAGAAACAGCATACATCAATTGTACGAGATTCTAAGGTTTTAGCCAAGGAAGCCTGCTGACCGATTTGGCATTGTTTGCGCTCGCCGAAGGCTCCAATGTGTATTTTGGAGCGAGGTTTCAGTAGACCTGGGACAGTGTTTTGCGCACTAGAATCGTTGACTGTGGTGACACTTGAGGAGGAAGCCGAAAGAGTGAGTTTAGATTTGAAAGTCGATGTAAGAGGAATAATAGGAATTGAAGAGGTAGGTTGATTATGAATACAGTGGTCTTGAGTGTTGTTAGAGGTATGAGGGCGGTTATCACTTCCCGGTTGCCCACACCGTGGAAGGGTTCTGCTGGACGTACCTGAAAAGGAAATTGGATTAGAGGTGGTCATAGTGACCTGAGAGCGTGACCGCAGTGCCCAAGGGACAGCTGCTTGAGGTCGGTCACACACGACCTTTTTATGAGTAATTTTTGTGTTAGCTCCGTACTTGTTGAGACCTTACCGCCGGAGACGGATATCCGCAGGATAAGGCGAGGTGCGCATTTTTAGGTTTGACCTTTTCTAACCCCTCCCCTCCTTTTGGGAAGACAGCATCGCTGTTATGCTGGTTGTCTGAAGGAAACACCTTACTGCTGTGACACCTCTGTACAGTCAGCAGTACGACTTCGCCTTCGGACCATGGTTTTGTTGCTTTTAGTCTTACCGCTCTTCAACCGACCTGTCTGGCATGTTAGGACTTTGAGGAACGGTTTTTCCAGCCAGTGTAGCTCAGTTGCTTCATCACGATAGGCAAGCCTGACCACCACGTCAAGGTAGCAACAACGGTCAGGAATGGCGCAGGTAGGTGCATCCGCTCTTTGTGTTCTCTCAAACTCTAATCTTCTGAATTCTCCCTGTCTTTATTTTTCCTCTTTCCAAATTTATTTCACTAGATTATACTCCTTGAATAACATTTTCAAACCCTAATCTTTCCAATTACTGCTTATACTTTTACTAACTCGACCATTATTGGATTTGAATCGACAATTGTATCTCTGTGCTAATTTGGTATGGCAACTCGAACTGATGTACGTACGTACGAAGTTCTACGTTGTTATTGACTGACTGACTGACGTAACAGATAGACGTTACATCACCATAATTATTTTACCATGGTTATAAGAAGTTTACCACATTTTTTTCTGAAACCAAAGTTCAGGTTGTGACCGCTTGATGGTAATGTCCTCTCCAAAGAGGATTAAAGGGGTATTTATTGCTTGTTAGTTAATTTAAACGCCATGGCGATATCCACGTTATGTCCATTATCCATTAATCATTAGGAAATTCTAAACATTTTGCTTCCCTTCAAATACAGCGTTCGCGGATATATTCAGAAAAACTTGTAGACGCCTTTCTTTTAGTCCTTCCTAATTAGTTGCCACTATGAGTGCATGTCAATTCACAAACACATTTGGAAGTGATCTCAGAATGATATCGATCTGCTTCTGATTGATTTAATGAAGATTTGGTGTTAGATACTGAAAAAAGTTGGACATTTCACCTATTTATAGTCTTATGCAAAATCACACGGAGCCTTTGTAAAATATGAAAATCGCACATTAAATATATCACTTGCACACCGTCCTCCAAATGTTCTTTATATGCTCCATCATTCTTCCAATCCCGTTGTTAATCCGATTGCCCTGCTCTCTTTATTACAATCTTTCGCTGATAAGCACTCTACTTAAAATTCCTTCTACATAGTACTTATGTCTATCCGCATAAGTAGCGCAAACCACAGTGCACTAAAAGACTTTGACTCACAAAGACAATCAAATCAATGAGTTACATTTTTGCTACTTCCTGACAAAGACGGGTCAAGACAAGCTTTCTCTTAACAATTAGTTTTTGGACCTACCTGAAAACATTTTTCTATACTTCCTACATTTCATATTAAGTAATCTTGAATAAATATCAATTTAACAGGTTTGTTTCGCCAAGCTTTGACCTACTTCCTAAGTCAATATATTTGTTCGTGCTATCATGTTATTTATTATTCTGATATTTACTACTATGCCTGTCACCTTACAATTTGTACTTTTTACTTATATATAATTAGTTGTGTAATCCTTCTTTATTATTAGCACTGAACCAAACATTACCTTAATTAGTTTCAGATTTTTCATACATCTATATAAATATTGATGTGAAAAATGAAACCTGATGAATATCAAACTGAAAGCAATAATGATTGCTTAATACCTATTGTTTTACATTAGGTGGTTGGAGGTGATTGACAGGAATTTCTGGACCTAAATCTCGTGCCATTTAGGATTTGTCAGCAAAGTCTACCTGTAACCTTGAAAGTGTGGTGTGGGTTACTTATATCCACACAAGTAGTATTGTGGTGTGTGCTACTTATGTAGACGTAAGTAGTATATGACGTGAGTCGTGAACAGAATGTCTGGAAGCAGAGAGACGAGAAGATCGAACAGTAAAGAATGAAAATAGAATGCAATTGGTATGAAAATGCAAGAACAAACGAATTCTGAGTCATTTGAGACAATTGATGGACATTTTGCAAATTGAGCATTTAATATATGGTTGTTAGATTTTACTAACTAGTTCTGTAATTTGTTGTTAAATACATTCGATTGTCCCCATTGATGTTCTTGTTCACTATAGTATATAACGGTCGTCAGACATAGAATGTATTTCAGTAGAAGGTCGATGAGGAAAGAACGAAAACGGAACGAAATTGATATGAAAATGCATGAACAATGAAATCTGAGATAATGGACTGATATTTGCAAACGGAACAGTCAAGATTGAGACGATGGATAGATACTTTGCAAATTAACTAGTTACTATATAGTTCTTAAATTCTATTGAGATGCTCTGTAATTTCGTGTCAAACACATTCGATTGTCTCCCACTCGCGTTCTGTTCACTACAAAAACATCGCTTCTACTGATGTATTGGATCCCCCAACACTCAGCCTCACAATCTAAAACAATACTGCGCAGCCATTCGGGCCACGACCGAGATAAGTCGCTTAGACTAGTTAGTACATCTCAAGTTGGTCGATAGAATCCAATCACAATTAAAAAGACTAAACAAATATGACACTGATCACTACTTAATAATCAATCAACTGTAAATATGTTGCTCTACTCTCCATGGTCTGAATTTTTAACATTCTAGGAAGAATTACCGAAATTAACACATTAACAGAAAACACCTCAACAATAACAAGCAAACTAAAAATAGTTGATAATTGATCCTAAATAAAATTAAAGCATTATGTACTAATAGTAACGAACTTGAATTAAAGATAATTGATGCAACGAAGTTTGATATAGGAGTCGAAGAAGCATTGAACCGGTTAACTGAGTTGGACTCAAAGTAAGACGTATAATTTTAGGGAAAAGACTAGACAAATCACACAAAGGATTATCGCTGGTCCGTTGAGATCGAGCACTAAGCCAACGAGGATCCAAAAGGTACCAATCTTCAGTGAAACATTGGTGGATATTGTTATTGGAAACGTTGTTAGTAGTTTGATGTTCATCAGAGACCGAATTTGCAAAACCTGGCATATACTCACGATGATATGCGGTTATTGCATTGACAGATGACTTATGGAAGTGAACAAGATTGAGATCAGTTAGACAATGTGAAGCAACCTGAATAATAGAAAAAAAACATACAAACATATTTAATAAGTGATTAACCAATAAGAAATATAAACTAAACTTCAAGTTTAATACATGACGAAACTAAGGTATAAAAAACTGAATATTTTCGTATAATTGAAGATGTTACTAAATAATACAGTTATTCTGTGTTGAAAATATCGGAAAAATAAAAAGAACTTGCAGTGCTCTGAAAACTTTTAACAGTGAATGATATGGAAGACGTTAACAAGTTGATTATGCGTGGCAAAGTTTGATTATAATGGTACTCACAGACATATATTCGGTGTACGACATTGGATAAAGAAACAATCAAACATCGCTAATTCGTACATGACAATCTGAATGTTTTGAAGGACTTCAAAAGAACTCAACCTACGATAATGTGTTAAAAGGTTACATCACTTGAGGATGTGCAATTTTTATTCACTTCAAATACCAAATGACGCATTTTAACACCGCTCATGCGATGAAGCAACAAATTCCCTGATCATCGAAACCATTTATGTATTATTGACCTTACGTCGTAACGGAAAAAAGTAGCGTTGATTTTAAAATTAGACCGCTGATTAAATTAAGTGAAATTTCATTGATCGAAATATCTAGTGAACGAGATGATTTTCGAAACCCTAGTTCCGTCTATATGCTATAATAGTAGGATGAAAAGGCCTGAAGGATGACATCCAGTTATCCAGTCTTATATTGTTTAGGTAGTGGCGAAAACTACAGACTTCTTTGTTAAAATGCAGTGATGGTATCTAAATTCACACTAGGAACTGTGTTATATGCTTCATACCTAAATAGACAGAAGCATTTGCAGATTTTGTGTTATTTTTGTATTTATTTAATTACAGTTCGCTAAGAGAGCGCTGATTGGTAAGGTTTAATCACAAACAAAATCATTGCAACTACCTACTAATCTACTTTTCAATACCTTTATGACTTTTATTCGAAAAGATACAGAATTAAGCAGAAACATTGAAACCTATTGTTTGAATGCTACAAATGTTCCCAATATTAACAGATATTTTGCTAATTAGTTAGCATAACACAAAAGAGAAAAATGAAAGTAGTACATTGTTACTTGAAAAAAGGAACAATGAAAACCTCTACACTACACTAAACCAAAATATTTCATTTCACCTATCATTAAGCACTGATTTTCAGAAAAATATAAATTGGATTTTCGTACATGACTATGATGAATGGGTGATGACTTTATTGACCGAACCTTGTCACTATTACCATAGTTCAAAGGCTTGGTATGATGACACGTAGGCCATATTTCGTCTGGCTTTCTCGACTTTGTACTAGCTTGGTTGCTAATACAAAATACCACGAGCCCAACAGCTTTTGACTATAAGTACTGTGTTTTTATCACGGCATTCAAACGAGATTTCCTATAATGAAACAAAACTTGTTTACACGTACAGTAACTAAATCCGAATACTACAGAACATCACAACAGTACAATGTAATGTTTATGGCTGATAAAACGAAATGTTTTTAACCAAGATATAGGCATTTTACAAATCAATTCGAAAAATTTCAAGGCACGTGAAAAATAATTTAAGTTATAATTCACACTTACATCACTTATTTCACAAACTAACTGTCTGGCGTCATTGGAAACAAGGAAAAGATCCACTAGGTGGAGACGATGAAGCTCACTTAACTGACGTATCACTCGGCTAATCGTTCTAAGCAACGCACCACCAGTTCCATAAACAAGACCACGCGAATCATCGACTTCAGAATTAAAATCCAATTCAAAAGAATGAACAATAGGTGGGTGGTGAAAAGCTGAAAAATTTGACACAGGTGAGGGATACTGAGAGCTTTTACTGCGTTTGAAGCTGCTACAATCATAACGATGAGATGGAGGATAGCTAATAGAAGACATTCTATGCGAGTGAAATTGCTCTAAATCATTGAATAAATCAGCTTGCTAATAAAAATAATGAAATTTAGGTTTAGCGAAACTTAAAAGTCATGCACAACCGATAATATTATATAATACTAAATGATATGATAATATAGATATAGCCAGAAAAGGCTGCATCGTGTATTTGGATGAAACTCTCAGGAAGAAGCCAAAAAACGTAACTCAATAATTTAGTTATATCTGTTAGTCAAAGCAGTTAATCTATTGATACCGTAAATTATAGACATACATTAGATTAGTAATTATTTATTATCAACTATGTCAGTTCGACACACCTAAATTCATTTATTGATAGGATATTTAACTTGATATATACCTTACTCTAATTTTTGATATCGTTTTGATCAGTTGTGAATCAACGGTTGGTGCATAAATAAATCTTCCTCCTCAGTCTTACGTTCTTTCATGATTCGAGCAATATTAGTGATTGTTTCATTGTAAAAAGTAGTAATTATTAATTTCTTTCCGGTCATAACAAGTAGCAGTACCAACATTTTGACTCCACAAAAGAAATGGTTACTAGACTGATAACCCATCACAAATTTAATGAGACCATTGTAAAATAAATACGTTTCTAACGTAAAACTAGATAATTTTCATGACGATCGGATACAGTACTAATGTATACTATATCCCATCCTACAGTCATCTACCCTATCCTATACTATATGAGAGTCATAGTACCCAAACTTATTGAATATTCCTTAGTCGAATACTATTGGTTGAATCATAGCTTACAAAAAAGTCTCAGGGATCGATCTCCAACCGGGAAACTCATTCATCGGTTTATGGTAAGCATATGACAACTCTTCCCGAGGATCCTTACGAAATGTTGAGTCGTCTGAACAACTTGAGTCCAAGAATGCTTGCGATGTGTTTCTTCACCTATAAATAGGGAATGCTGGCTTACGACTTTCAAATGATCATCTTTGGTCTAACTAAAGAAAGTGAAGGGATCATGCATATTGATCAGATAAATAAAAGCTCCGAAGTATGCTTCCAAATAAGTAAAAGTGAGTGTTGTATACCGTAATTTAAGGTTTTGTAGGACAATAAACATGCTGATGTTAACATACCCTGGTTATTTTCATCAACGTGAAAAGTTACAAATCTTCATTAAATATGGTAAACAGATTTGTAGTTTTGTTTAACCCCCACCATTAAAACTGAAAAAATTTGTTGAAAATCCTACTTTTAGATATCCTATTAAACTGAACAATGACTATGATCAATAAATATATTATGAAAACGGGTACTTAAAGCAGTGAAACGCTTACACTATTTTCAGAGGATAAATCAGTTGAAAAATCCTGAATTTCAGGCTCTTGTAGCTCAAATATTAGCCTGAGCGTAGCTTCGGCATCTGGGTCACCTTCAATGATGAAACCAGCAAGTCCATAGTCTGTTTCACGGATTACATTACTGTTCGGATTTCCATATGATAAGTTTTCAATTTCTTTAGGTAGGTCACTATATTCATTACCATTTGAATCGCAGGCATTATTAGGTTCATTCTTCTGTACATCTAATTTGAAACTGTATTCAAGAAACTTTGCAACAAGATTTAACGTTCGATTAAGTAGGAACAAGTCATCAGTTTTCAAAAACTTGTAGCTGCGAATATGGCAACCAATTGCCTTTAAGCAACTAGAAAATAACCCAAATAAATGGAGACATTGCAAACTATCTGAAGATAAACCGTAGTTATAAGAAACTTATTTTAAATTCCGGAGTTGGAGATAATTTACTTTTCAGAAGAGAATAATAAAATCATACAAGATTGACTAATCATTGCTAACTTGTAGTCTGAGCCATGTTGGTAGATACAAATGACTTGATTGGGGTCCACGTGACTATCGCAACCAATGGTTGGATACTCTGGGTGATATGGCTCAGAATCTATCACGATTGCGTGGGCGTATTTACTCTTTGTCTTCCCTTAAACTGTGAGATTAATATTACTTTATACTTTTTTTCTATGAACTAATTCTTTCTCGCTGTATATATATCTTTACATACAATCATTTTTTGTATATATTACTGCCATTGAAGTAACTGCTCCCAGGAATTAGGTATGAGGTATGGCAACTTTTACCGATGTATATATGTGCATGTTCCCACGTTGTAGATGACTGACTAACTGAATCATCACTATAAACCTGTTTTGGAACTGAACAACAACCAATTACTTTCCCGATGGATTTCGTAGTGTGGGTTAAATGAAAACAGAAGTCCAAATGATCTTGAACTAGAAAAAGATTAGTAAGCTGGCAATAAGACGTAAGTATTTTGACAATAAACAAGCACTAACAGCTAGATGTGGTCATGACCACGTCAATAACTAACAACTGAGATTATAGCTACTCAAAATGTACAAAGGTTCTGCCCCTAAAATAGTTCCACATGGAAAGAAGTGAGTTTGATAAGTGTTTGAAAATTTTTGGCTTCCTTTGTAATAGCTTAAAATGGTCATATCATTTGTTAAGCTCATAATTCAAATAAGTTGCCTAAATTTCAGCTAAATCGTTTTAAGTACACACTAAATCCAGTCTCTGCTGTGAAAATTATAAATTGACGAAGTAAACTATCATTTTGCAGCTCATCCCTGCCCTTTAACTACAGTGAGAAGTCCAGTTTGTACAAAAGCTTCCTTGAATAGAGACCCTTAGAAATTTTTTCGTAAGGAACTGACATACTTATGTACAGAACATTCACAAAAATTAACATGATAGAATTTCATAAAAGACTGGATGAAATTAATTTATAGTCCACTCACTCATCAGTCAAAGAAGACCTGATTATTAAGTACAGTTTTCGTTCATCGTATCAGAATGTGACATAGCACTGTGTCAATATTACAATCACAAGTTCAGATGCTATTATGATAGTGTCAGAAGCTACATTTATTTCAATATATTTGATTTCAATTATCTTTTTGATAAAATCAGGCCTTATACAAAATTCACGTGTAGTTATAGAACTGGTATATATTTCCTTGACTCAGGTTACAAATAAATGTAAAGACCTTAAACGACTGAACCTGGTAAGAAGTACGAATCAAACATATGATCATTAAAGTAGGGGAGTGTTAGGTCACTAAACAAGGTAATGACAAACAAATATTTGATTACATAAACGAAGTTTATACCTTTCTTTAAAAAATTAAGTATGACTCACCAAGACAAACGATAGCCTTTAATATCATATTGAAGTTTTGTTAGTCGACGACACGGTGGCTTAAAAACGATTTTCCTCCACAAGACAGGGGATTGAAACACATTATACCACTTTCTACACACACGAGCAGCTCGTGAACGTTCATTCCAATTCAAATAAATAAAAATTTGCTCTAGGATTGAATCCGGTATATTAATCATTAATTAGGATAAGCTTTATTTTTCTTCAGAAAACAAATCTAAAACAGCCAACAAAATATCCCACTTGGCCAAAACTTCTGGACAAGCAGTATTTGGGAAGAGTACCACTAAAGTCCAATGACATTACAAAGGTGATACGACAACTGTATGGTATCAATAAAATGGATGTAAATGAAAAGAAATAAATACAAAATTCAGAAAACTATTAACCCTTGGAACATTTAGATGAAGCCTCAAAGTAAAGTCACATAAATCTCTTTTATTAAAAATGGAAACGAATTGAAAACAAGTACTACTATTTATACCTTAAAAACTAAGTAATGTGTCAAAATCACTTGTCCATTGATTCGTAAAATATATTTGATACATAATTTTTATACAACTAAACTACTAAATAGCTATTTGCCAATAAAACAAAGATTTCACAAGCAGACTAAAAACTAACGGAGAATAGTAGCGAAATTCAAGGACATGAAGGAAAGATCTCTGAAAAAATTACACGAAATATACATGACCGTCGTAGCTAAACACATATCATTATAACCTTGTGGAGCAAAATACCATGTTATTCGGCCATCGTTATTTTCATTTTATTTGGCGCATATATATTTGGTGCCCTCTTGGACCAATATTTGTGTTCAAATAAATAATAAATAAATAAAAATATTTGCCCATAATCAACGTAGAGTCGGCATAAACGTGCACTGGGCCAAAGCGAACACATTAGCACAATGAAATGAAAGTAACAAGATGAATAACTAAAAAATCGAAACAATGTAGTATAAATTGTAATTATAAGAACTAAGCATTTGAAATATGATTTGGGACGACAAGAGGGAAACATAGGCATGAGATGCTGGAAACCAAAGTCTAGAGGAAGACAGAGAATCCACATACTTGAGCTATTTTGATAATTTCTAAGTCATTCTATTTAGCACCTTTAATCAATCATCGACGTTATCGAGCGGACCGCAACCGAAGACTATCTGACTAATTGACATCTTTGGAACTTGCGGATTTTCAAATGAGCTTAAGATCACTTTTAATGCAAAAACAGTAAATCCTCTAAAAATTGAAGCAGTTTTCATAAACCAATTTGCCACGACAGATTGGTCGGATATATTATCACTGTATGTAGACAATTCAAAAGATTCACAACAACTGGCTTTAATTCACTAACAGAGGTTGAGAGATATTCATTCAGTTATTTACATATTCCATTTTCCAGACATCTTTCATTGCAACTTCTACAACACGTCATTGATTTGTCTGGCAAATAGTGTTATACATTGTGTTACGCCATTTTTTCATAGTCGGCTATAAACTGAAAGTCATGGAACAGGAAATAAGACAGTTGACTGATGTTAGCATAAAAAAGTGTTTCCTTACAGCAACTGATAAGAGTGTCAATGCTTTCTGTCAACCAAAAAAATATGCAAAGTAGATTAGTGAGGCATGGAAGTCACTTGTGGTATTTAGACAGCCAAAGTTTTAAATCACACTGGCGCAAATTTTTTTCAGTCGATGTCCAGAGTGGGTACATAAACGTTCGTAGCCTTTAATTCTGTCCCACAATTACTTATGGGCAACAGTAAACCGTAATCGTAAGACCACGGCTCACTGACGTGTAGTCACAAATAAACGGTTTTAGGTGTTACACGCATTAAGGAGTTTTTGCCCAGTTAGATACAACTATGTTTACCACGATCTATGAAACGCTAGTGAGTCATGAGTTAGAAAATTATGTGACCGTTAAAGGCAACTCATAGACTGTCAATTGACCGGCGTTAGAGACCTTGAGTGTCCACCTAATAACCAGGACTGAATGAGAGTTATAAGCCAGTATGAGGACTTAGAATTATGATTTTTACTTGATGGTTATGGTTAAGAATAAGATTTTCAGTTTTCATCACGAACTAACATCGGTTCTAATGCCAAAACTCTATTTAGCCTAAGGGATCCCGAGCTCGCAATTTTGGGGAAAAGTTTACCTATTTTGGGGAAATTTACGAGAAATTTTGTTGAAATGGGACAAGAACTCCAAAATTTCCTTGAACGTTGGGGTTTTTCCCCAAAGTTGGGAGCTTCGGATGAGTGACTGATCTAAAGTGAATAGCGGTTGTAAGACTTGAGCACAGCGTATCTACTCGTGATGTGGCCGATATTCAGTGACGAAATTGTCGGATGATTTAGCTAGGACTCAGTGAAATTTCACTGGCCTTAAAAGGGAAATAATTTTGACCATGATTGCATTCACATTTACATCACAGACCACTAAGGTAATGAAGATTTCAAAACGAACTGCGACGGCAACATGGCTTGATTATGGCATCACAAATAATAAAACCAATTTACTAAGCATCTATCTTGTGCGAACAGTAGCGCAAAGACAGATTCTCCCGCCCACCAAGAATGAGTAAAAAGACTCGCAAATTGAAATAAAGCAGATCATTTCACAATTGCTGCCTCAGTTATCTTGTTGCAGGAGTGACATAAAATTTCCTTATTTTTATTGTCAACTTGTGGCATTTCCTGTTTATTTACTCTCAGTTTGTTTTTGCCTGACAGTGAACGATTTCATTTTATTTCGATCAAGTGATTCTGGCTTACCTATTTGCCTTTATTTCTACAATCTTTTTAGTCGCATTCATGCATGTTTCAAGGTGTGCTTGTTTTACACGTGTCTGTTTTCCATACACTATTGTGATTTTATAGTTTTCAAATTATTAGAAAATTGACTTATTATATACTCACCATTTTTCGTTACATTATCAACCTAAAACTCACACCGATTCCTCTTCGTTCGTCTTACGAATCGACGTGTAAAATATACACACTGTAACACTTTCGTAATCGAATTTAATTATTAAATCAAATTAACGTGGTCGGTCAATGAAAATGTACGAGGATAAATAGTTTTTATTTTATGTTATTATCGCTCGTTTTTAGTTCATTACACATCAGTTAACTTATGAGTTCACGACGTATATCGTAGATTTTTTTAAAAATGAAACAGTACATTGGAATAAGACAAAATTACGTAAAAATTCTAAGATGGACGCAAAATAGTACCAAACGCTTATTACTTCTTTTTTTACTGCTTTCAAATAATTTCAGACACATATACCAAGGTAAACCATCACAAAGGAGCGGGCCATGGAAACCTCTAAACAACCAACAGCCCACAATGTTGTGGCTTCGATTTCTTATACGGTCAATGAAATATCACTGCGCAACAATCAAACCACCCATCAAGATAAAACATTTAGATTTCGAACGACAATGTGACAAACACTGCCAAGGTCAAATATGACGAAGGCGGATTGATCGCTTGCAATCCATAGACATGACAATGAAACAGTAGTAGAACTTTGTATTTACCTAGCCTGTTTTTGCTAATACATTTCATCCGTAATGTCACAGTGGCTCTATACATTCATCAGGGAATCGATGGTGTATGGAAACTGAAACGAAAGTAATCTGTGTAACGCATTAACCGCTAGAGAAGACTTCGACGCAAGCTGGTAGGTCACAACGATCTTGCTAGACTCCAGTAGACCGTAGTCATCCACATACACTTTTCTAAAAATTTATAAATTAAGCTGACTAGCTGGACGTGTCCAAAGAATCTAAATAGACCAGCATCAGTGTCCAAGACCTGTGGAATCATTTATATCAGGGGTTTGTTTAACAAGCACATCTGCTACACCTGACAAGACATATAAGTTAGAAGATTTCCCTCCTAAAATATTGTTTATCGGAAAAGATCTAGACGTCATGATCCTGTATAGTTCAAAGTCTTTCGCTAAGTGTGGTAAACTGTAGGTTTAAAACAGACTCGTGTAGCCTGTGGTCGGAATTCGCTGGGAGAACGCTAACCTCTGCGCCAGTATCGACGAGGTAGCGAACTCTCGTTATCACATCAGTGACATATAAAAGACGGCTATGTTCGCGGCTACGGTCGCCGTTAACGCATGCCGGCTTGGAAGTTTCCCGAAACGTTCTTCGCGTCGACGGATTTCGCGTTGGGAAATTTGCAGGGTTTTCTGCAATTTCTGGCGGACTTTCCGTACTGGCTATGCTACCAGCATCAATCAGGATTATCCGTCTCTCGAGTTCTAGATACAGATCGCCTACGTGATGTGCTTCTCCGCGGGGTAAGTGATCGTTTACGGTCGTTACAGAGTTTGAGATAACGCGTAAGTGTATGACATAACTGTGTTATGTCATTCTGGGTCGTTTGAGGCTTTTCTTTGACTGAAAAAACCTCGGCGTTAGAAGACCTAGTGATTTCGAGAATGCGGTCGGCAGATGCAGCTAGCTCGTCTACGGCGTTGTTTTGGAACGAGACCAAAACAGCTTGCACCTGTTGAGGAAGTTTGGATAAGAAACGTTGTTTGTATAGGCCGTCATTGAAGGTTCTTTGGCCAATGACTTCTCGCATTCTTTGCAACATGTCTGTGGCAGAACCGTGTTGCAGGTCGATGTTGTTGAGGAGTTGGTCTAAACTTTGTCGATCGGTTAGATCTCCGCGTTTAAGGATGGCATGTTTCAGGGTTTGGTATGGATCAGAAACATCACTAGTGAACATACTAGGTGTTACGTACCTGTTGAATTCGCGCGGTAGTGCCTTGACTACTGCGAGAAATTGTGCACGCGCATCGTTCACACCGTGCTGGAAGAAGTCGGCTTCTGCGTAACAAAACCAGGCTTCGATGTTGTCTGGCCAGAAAGGCATAAGTTGGAAAGAGGGTGGGGACACAGTCTTTAACTTAAATACTTTAGGGGTCTGTTCAGTCATAGTAATATATCAAGTACGAAAAGTGAACGAGTGGGCAATATATATAAAAACCCAAAAACACGGGAAAAAATTATCACAATGTTAAAATAAAATTAAAATAAGACAATGATATATAAAATCACAAAAAGGAACAGACTCACAGTTTACAATATGGTCTACCAGATCACGTCGGGCTCACCAATGAAGATGCCACAGGTATTCGGGGTTTGACAACGCTTTAACCAGCAATACCTTCTAATATGAAACTTACCCATCAAGTAAAATCAAAAGACAGAAGTGAGGAGATCGAAGATATATTTGATAAGCTATCAATATTTCGAGGATCGTTTGCACTAATCTGGCTAGCGATTGAGGCAGATGTTGAGCACGGCGTTCCCACACGTGATCTGGTGTGGATGCTTGACCGAGCGCCTTCAGCTAGATGAGTCCACTAAAACTGTGATCAGCATCCAATGTCGAAAACTTACAGCGCTATTTGATTTTGGGGAATTGTTTACCGCTACAAAACTTTCTCTAAGGGTAGACCTTGCTCGAACAATCCTAGGGCTTACGTTTGATAAGCCCAACAGCAGAAAGTTTCGTCCATTTTTCGAAACCTTATATATGCAATTTCGGAACAGCGTTTCCTATTTCATATCAAAAGAATAAGAATACCCAGGGGATATGAAATCAACTCCTTGATTCGAATCCACGTTTTGCGGAGAATACCTCACATCACAGAATTTTCGACCATTAATATATAGGCAACTCAGATGCGAACTTTTAATGAAATGCTGCAAAATAAACATTCCCAAACATCCTCCAAAGACCCTTAAAAGCTCAGTTTCTGTGCAATTTTTGCAAAAAAAATATCCGGAAATTAGTACAACAATGAAATTTACTAGACTGTTTAATGTATATTTGGTTCCTTACGAGTAGTCAAGTTTCGGAGTTTGCCTACGAATAAAGCGTTCGAATCGGTACTTTGAACATACAAAGAAGGATTTTGGTAAGTTCTCAAAGACTCAGAACTGCATATCGTAACAACTTACGAATAATTCCTTTGCTCCTTGTAATTCCGCTCACCTAAGTACCAACATGAAAGCATCAACTATTCATTTTCTCTAGACATATCAACTCTTCCATCGAAAGCCTCTTTTATTTCATCCACGACGTGATGTTAGTTCTCTTGTTATGTCCAAGATACTCTTGTTGATAGTATCCTTGAGCATTACTTCACTAGACATCTCTCCAAGTCATAACATGATTGAACAGGGATGTAATTATACTCCGAATAAACACTGTTCAATGGAAGTAGGAATCGGAGTGAAAAATACCTCTACATTTATAGTGTTCACATAAGACGATTCCACAATTTTCTCCGGATATCCACTGGCACTGATTGATTACAAAATAGTCGATATATGTGCCCCAACACAATCCTTCACGGAACATACTTTACTCTAATCGATCACCTGCTAGCACCACCCATTTGAGTTGGATCTATTGTCAGAGTCTACGTCAAACCGCGTGACGTGTAGTGGCACTGGGCCCTGACCACACAACCACCAAAGCTGAACACGAGACAATTAGGCAAATAGACGCTCAAAATTTAACGCGGAGAAAAATCCAACGATGAAGAGGTCGGGAACAATGAATTGAATTGATTTGAGTTGATCAGATGGCATGGCTTGATCTTGCAAACGTGGTCCCTGTTGAATGTTATTTTATATCTTTTATTCATATTAAATGTATTGTTCTATCTCTAGCCTAATCTCGTTCTCCATCATGTATTGGTGATTGTTACGATGCAATGAGTTGATGTAGACGTTGATATGACTACTGCGTAAAATCGTATAGATTAGGCAGTTAAATCATAACAAATCTACGATTTTAATATGAGGCCTATTATTAGAGCAGTACTAATATCATAGTAGACCATAATTTCAACATTGGTAAACCCGGCTAAAATACGCTACCTATTATTGTTAATCCTTATTTTCCCTTTAACTTTATAGATGGATTTTTGCTTATGTTAACAAGAATTCTATCAGTCCTCTGATTAGTACTCACATGTATTATCGTAATGTTATATTGATTAGTATTCATAACATACTAACTCGATCGATACCAATAACTGGTCATTTATATTAATCAGCTTTGATGGTTCATTAATAAGCTTTAATAGCATTTTCATGCTTCAGTAGCATAAACTTGTTTGAACATCAAGCTCCAGCAAATATAACCTGTAAATAATCCAAATATATATTGACTGACAACGTAAGCAATTACTAGTTAATTATTTGGACCTAATTCTCAATATTGTTTTGTCACTTAACGCCTCATTCTCTCTTAAACTGTGAACCATTCTGTATCTTTTTTTCCGACCTCTGCCTGCCGCACACAAACTTCCGAGCCAAGTAACACCTCGTGAACCACACTTCCTTTATTTTGCATCATTTGACCAGCTGCTCATGTAGGATGTTTGCCACGATAGTCCATAGCAAGTATACCTTGACCAACAGCAAAAAATTGTTACGTTCACAACGACGTCTATGTATTCCGTTGAGGTTCAAGAGCTGGCGTCGTGCGAACAACACCGAAATGTGTTCGTATTTTCCCGTCAA